GTGTGTGTGTGTGTGTGTGTGTGTGTGTGTGTGTGTGTGTGTGTGTGGTTTATTTTGGTTTACAGCGCAGACCAAAGTCTACAGGGAGCTCATGTCTAATGAGAGCTGTGTTAGCAGTATCCCAAGGCAGCACAGAGTACCATGTGGCTAGAAGCTTGTACATTCATGTGTGTGTGTGTGTGTGTATGTATATATGTATATAGGTATATGAATATATGTGTCTCTGTGTCTCTCTCTGTATGCATGTGTATGTGTCTCTCTGTCTGTCTGCCTGCCTGCCTATGTGTGTGTGTGTCTGTCTGTCTCACTGGAGTCTGTTCCTCTTTTTCTATAGATACCAGCTTCAGTCATGGGACTTACACCCTGGTGATTTCATCAAGTCCCCCACCAAAGGTCCCACCTTTAAGCAGCATAGTCACATTAAACACAGGAGAGTAATCGCCAGTGTGAGTTTCAGAGAGACCAAACCGAATTCACACCGTAACACCTTTCAGGCTTCTCTATCTCAGCAAGCAGCCGCTCTGTCCTTCACTAGCCCAGGTCAAAGGCTCGTGTCATCCTAGATTCCTTTTCTCATACACTTCACATCCAGCATACAAGAAAACCTAACCATGCCTCCTCTTAAGAATACCAGGGTTGCCAGGCAGTGGCAGCACACTCAGGAGCAGAGGCAGGTGGATCTCTGAGTTCAAGGCCAGCCTGGTCTACAGAGTGATTACAGGACAGCCAGGGCTATACAGAGAAACCCTGTCTCGAAAAACAAAACAAACAAACAAACAAAAAAGAATCCCAGGGTGAGTACTGTTTGTACCTTTGCTTCCAGAGCCATGGCAGTCTAAATGTGCTGCCGTTTGCCACTCAGGTCACAATAGTGGCCCCTCACTGGCGCCCCTGTCTTTACAGACTATCCTTGGTTGGGTCCTGGCACACCTCTGTGTGAAACCTCCCCACAGCTTCTCCTAGAGGTTCTGCTGTCCCCCACACTCTATTGCCTGCCGCGCATCCCTGTCTGCTCTTGCCCACTCTCCTCTGCTCCAGCCTCCTTGCTGTTTGCAGATAGTCTCACAGCTCCAGAATTCAGACACACACACACACACACACACACACACACACACACACACACACACA